CCTGAATCTCCCCACTCGCCCCCTTCACTAGGTCTCCCAGTTCGGCCTTTGCTTCCTGGGCCACCCCCTCCTGGAAGTCTGCCTGAGCCACCCCCACCCGGCCTCCACCAAGTTAAATTTAGTTTCTCTCTGGACTCTTCTGTGGCACTCACAGATCTTAGCACTATTTGCCTTCCATTCGAGTCACGTCCACTCGGGTTTAGTAAGTTGTTTCCAGCAATTCCTGACCCTTTTCACATTGGAAGCCTGGAGGCCGCCAGCAGGGACCAGGACCCAAGCAGCCCTTAGGCCCAGCTGCTGAGAAGACCCAGCGAGTGGGCACCTCGCTTCCTGGTGGAGGGCAGGGTCCCCTTCACCCCTCACTCGCCACAGATAAGGCACGCCTGTTAATTCCATGTTTTTAAAATATGTCTTTATTGACTTTTCGAGAGAGAGAGAGGAAAGCAGAAAAACATTGGTGAGAAACATCACCCATCGGGTGCCTTCTGCACGCCCCCCACTGGGGTCCGAGCCCTCAGCCTGGGCAGGTGCCCCGACCGGGAATCAGACCAGCGACCCCTTGGAACCAGCGGGACTCGACCACTGAGCCACACTGGCCAGGCCATTTAATTTCATTTTAAAGAGTACGTCTCACAACTGTTTCCAAGTTTGCGTGGAGCAGGTCAGTTGACCACAGAAACTGTGTCTAGCGATTCGGTAGATTCCCAATAGCTTTTCAGTTACCCAGGAAAAGACAGAAAACAAGAACAACACGATAGTTATTATGATGCTGATGCATTTAGAGCTGCTCAGAAAGTGCCCAGCGGTTGACCAAAAGCCAACCGGAGAGGCCGCCGTCTCCACCTCGGCCCTTCCCGGGACGCAGCTCCTCTCACTGTGGAATCGATCACGTGGGGCCCGTGGCTCCCCTGGTGCCCAGGACGGTGGGAGGTGCTCCAGCTGGGGTCCCCCTCTGGGCCCGAAGGAGATGGACCGTGTGGCGGGGGCACGTGGCGTGGATGGACCTCTGCGTGACACACGGTCATCCCGGTCGACTCGCCCCCACCAACAGGCGGGAAACCAGGCAGAAGAAAGACGTCCGGCTCCGGCCTCTGCACCCTGGGTTTCCCCTGGTCTCCCAGGAATCGCTTAATGGACACTTGTCAGTGGTCCCCCCGCCCGTCCCCACAGCCTCCTCCCAGGTTTTCAAATGATGTGTTGCAGCTGCTGACAAGCAGAGAAACCCCATCCCATCCCCCCCCGAAAATTGCCAGAGGTAAGTCACTGCAGGAATGTGCTTTAAAATTATGAGTTTGGGGGAAAGTCTGAGGGGGGGGTGGCAGAGGAACAACATGTCGGATGCCCAAGGAGACCCCTGGGCTCCACCTGGAGCCCCGACTACAAATCAAAGCGTCGCAGGGCCAGCAGAGGTGGCAGGCGTGCCTCTGGTTAGAAATGCCTTCGATGCATCCATCACAGCCGCAGAAACGGGGGGGTCAGGCGTGGAGCCGTGGCCTCGGGGACCCCCAGCCTGAGCGCCGCGACTCACCGCGCGACGCGGGGCCTGGGGCTCTGCCTCTTGCAGGTTCGGAGGCCGTGCGCGAGAACGCGCCTCTGGTTAAGTCGCTGCTGCTGGCCGGGCCGTCGGGCGTGGGGAAGAAAATGCTGGTCCACGCCATCTGCAGCGAGACGGGCGCCAACCTCTTCAACCTGACGGCGGCCAACATTGCGGGCAAGTACCCGGGCAAGAGCGGCCTGAAGATGATGGTGCACCTGGTCCTCAAGGTACTTCCCGCTCCTCCTTCCTCGGCGCCCGTTCGCCTCCCCCTTTCAAGTCACATTTTCAAACCCCGGCCTTTGTCTCCTCAAGCGGACCAGCACTGGCCCTGGCGGGGAACTTCCTCGGGCTGGGCTGACGAAAGCACCCCCCGCGTCCCCGCCGCGCCCTGTCCGCCCGCAGACGCCTCGGTCAGCGTGCCCGCTGAGCGTGCGGCCCGGAGAGGCAGCGCCTTCCTCGGCGCGGACGCTCACTGTGCCGGTTGCCTCCCTGTGCCACCGGAGTCCTCTCCGAAACGCTCGCACCTCCCGCTGGAAATTACTTCTCCCTCCGGCAAAGGCACCGACACTTGCATTTGGGGCCCTTTCCCACGCGCGGGAGTCGCCCAGGCCCGGAGCCTTCTGCGCTTCAGCGCCTCACACGGGCAGCGGGGGGCCCGAGGGAGCCGGGCAGCCGCAGTCACGCCCGCGCTCAGCCGCAGCGCAGGCCGGCGGATGGGGTGTCCTGGGGGGTCCGCGCCCCCTCGGCTCTGAGATCTCAGATGAGCTCTGCACTGCCCCGGGTCTGCGTGTTATCCCCCCAAAACGAACGAGCCGCGCCGAACGGGGGGAGGTGCTCTCGGCCCTGAAACCCACGGTTCTCTGATGTCGTTTGTCTGTAGCTGATGATGGTGATGACAGACAGAAATACAGGTCGATGGGTGGATAGATGATTGTTAGATAGATGACAAATGATAGGCACATAGATGATAGATGATAGGTAGGTAGATAGATAGATACATAGATAGATACATACATACATAGATACATACATAGATACATAGATACATAGATAGATACATAGATAGATACATAGATACATAGATAGATACATACATACATAGATACATACATAGATACATAGATACATAGCTAGATACATAGATACATACATAGATAGATACATAGATACATAGATAGATACATAGATAGATACATAGATACATAGATACATACATGGATAGATGGACAGACAACACACATGTATACACACAAGGGTTACCAACTTTTAAAGCATTCTGATACAGAATATTTATATATAATATTAAAACGTCACAGGATTTTATTTTTATTTGGTCGAGCACCTCAAGGTTGACTTCATGCTGTTCAGTTTATTTTCAGTGGCCGGCAGGCCCGTAAGCAGCTTTACTATGGAAAGGCTTACGCGCAGCAAGAGCCGTCCTGGGCTTGGGGCTGGACGTTGGCCGCGCATCGGCGCTCGGGGGGCGCTAAGACACGGGCGATTGTCACCGTACACAGTGGCTCACAGAAGCGGTTCCTGCCCCATCACCCCCACGGCCACAGTGCGGAAGTGAGGGCGTCGAGGAAGGACATTCCCCGGCCTCCTTCCTTCCCTTGCTGGTCCAGAAGGATCCAAGGAGAGAGGACTGGAGGGAGGCGGGAAAGGGGAAGGGGAAGGTGGATGGGAGTCGAGACAGACCACCGAGCTGTGCACAGAGCGCCTCGAGCGGGGTAGGTGCTCCCACCTCTGTGTTGTTATGTGAGGGATTCGTCACCCCCGTTTTACAGAGAGAGAAACTGGGGCTCTGAAGGGTGACACAGCTTGCCCAAGGCCACCAAGGGCAGTGGCCAAGCCGGATTCAAGCCGAGGCCCTTCTCGTCTTCACCCTCTCGCGCTGTTTTTATCAAGGTAAAATTTACATGCAGTAAAACGCGCAGATCTCACGTGGACGTTTGAGGTGCCAGCCTCGAAAAGTGCGCGTAACTGCGTGACCACCGTCTTCGTGCGCTTTGGGGCCCCTCGTATGACTTCTTTCCCAAAACGTCTTCCAAGTCATTGGCCAGTGTCCACTGGACCGTTGGCCTCGTGGTTCCTCCGAGTCGTCTGTGGTGTGAATCCAAGTCCTTTGTCGGACATAACATATTGCAGGTGTTCCCTCCGTCACTTGCTTTTCCATTTCCTCACATTGGTTGTTGTTCACTTGTCCCATCGACCACTGAGAGAGGGTGTTGAAGCTCCGGCTAGGGTTGGGGAACCCTCCCTTTCTCCCCGTAGCTGTCGGGTTTTGCCCGGCGGATGTCGAAGCCCTGTGGTGAGGTGCACCACGTTTGGGACTGTCGCGTCTTCCTGCTGGGTTGTTTTGTCATTAGGAGGTGTCCCCTTTGCCTCTGGCAACACTCCTTGTCTTGAAGGACGGATACCTGGTCTGATCTGACCAGAGCCCCCTGGCTTCCTCGGTCCTCCTTCGTGCTCAGCGTCGTTAGAGTGGCTGCACTTCTCGCCGACGGTTGCGTCTTGCCTCTTGCTCCGGCTGAGACGCGGAGCGTTTGCTCGGTACAGAGGTGCAGCCGCTCCAGGTGGCTTAGGTCTAATGCTCCCGGGTGGCTTAGGTCTAATGACGCATTGCTGTTTGTTCTCCATTTATCCCATTTCCCATTTTTTTCCTTCTGTTTCTTCTTTTCCTGCCTTCTTTTGAGTAACTCAGTACTTTTTAGTATCTTATTTGAATTCCTCCATTGTCTTTCTAGTAATGCCACTTTCTTTTTAAAAAAATTCTGGCTTTCAGTTATAGTTTGCATTCAACATTATTTTGTATTAGTGCCAGGTGTACGGCACAGCAGTTGTGCAGCCACACACGTCAGCAATGCCTCTGTCTTATTTTTTAGTGCTTGCTCTATGGATGACAATAGCCCTTTTTAATTTATCACAGTCTACGTAGGGTGAATAACGTTCTATTTTACATAAAATATGAAACCTTACAACAGTATAATCCTTTGTATTTTTATCATATGTTTCACATCTAGAAATGTTATAAATGCCATAATAGAGCATTATTATCTTTGTATTAGTCATTTGTCTTTAAAGAATTTAATGGGGAAAAATTAGTATTTTACCCTTAGCCACCTATTTCCCATTTTCAGTATTCTTTATTCCTTTCTGTTGCTCCAGCTTCCCACTGGGTGTGATTTCCCTTTCAGCTGCAGAACTTCCTTCCATATTTATTTTAGTGCAGGTCTGCTGGCAAGAAATTTTCTTGGTGGTCATTAAATAAAATGTCCTTATATCACCTCCATTTTCAAAGGATAGTTTTGCTGGATATAGAATTCTGGGCTGACATATGTTTCTTCCAGACCTTTAGAGATGTAACTGCGTGAGGCACAGAGCATTCCTAGTTACAATGTTGCCACGTGAGCCCTCAGTCTGCATCCAGAGCCTCCAGGTTTCTTAAGTGCGTTATCCAGCCTCTCACTGAAGTCGGGCTGAATGAAGCCTGTCCTCCCCCAGATGCCTCAATGCTCCTGGGGAGATTCTAGGACAGCCCATGCCATGATCATGGTGTCCTCATGCTCAGGAAATTGTTTCTGCTGCTGAGAGGTATTTGGTTTTTTTCCCCTGGATATCTGATAAGCTATGCTGGCATGTTTTACAATCGCTGCAAACTGACATTATGCAGACCACAAAATGCTACGTGTCAAATTTTCAAAATGTGAAACGGCACACTTATCCACCAAGGCCACTCCGTGTCAGAATGCCTGACACACACCTCATTAAGCTTCACCTCTACTGTGTGTATAGCTGATTAATGAAAGACCCAGGGGCCCAGATGTGGGAGTCATTCAATTAAAAACCTTGTGCAGTGAGGACGCAGCATCTTGGCATGAGTGACAGACCAGCTATCTGCATTGCAGAAAGGTATTTGCTTTTAATTAATCCAAAGAAAGCTGGTAAATCCCTGGCAGGAGGTGCCATGGGTGCATTCCTGTGTCATGTGAGCCGTGGCACGGGGGCCGTGGCTTGAGGGTAGCCCATGTGGATCTGTGACATCTGCTGGATTTCCTGTGACTGAATTAATGTCTGGAGAGTGGAGGTGGCAACAGTTAGGAGACTGTTCAGAAGTTCACTTCTGATTGGCGGCCTTGCCTCACGCCCAGCACCCCGCACACATGCAAACACACTGGGAAGACTAGTCTCTGGTTTGTTTCACAACCACAGACTCAAATCCATTTTGTTTTCAATGTTTCTGGAGGGTTCCTTCACTTCACACACAATAACTTTAATGGACTAACAACTTGGGTTGTTAAGAAATGTGTTTGCTGTTATTTAGAATTCCCTCTTCTACTGAACAACTTAGTCAGAATTCTCTCTTCTGCTAAAGCTGTGTGTGGAAAAGAAATACATCTCTTCAGTGAAGAAATGTTAGAAATACAGCCATCTAACCTTTTAAGGGTTGTGATAAATTGATGTTTAATACGTATTTCATGTACTAAAGAAGTTACCAAGGCGAGGCCACCGCTCAGCAGGCCTTGGCCTCCTCGGGTTTGTGCAACAGTAAATCAGGGGCTGGATGGGCAGAAAGGACTGACCTCGACCCCTGGCCAGGAGTCAGCACACACCAAGGAGTTGTACGCACACATTCCTTTTCCTTTGGAGCAAATCCCTGACGAGGCAGGGATTAATGTGCCCATTTATAAATAAGAAAACAAGGCTCACAGTGCTTAACTTGACAAGAAAATACGAAGGAACATAAGGCCTAGCATCTGGATTTAAGCCCAGGTCTGTCTCTACCACCATTACCTGGCCCCAACTGACCTCTAGGGGAGTGGAGGCTCCCTGAGCCCTGCCCTGGGGAGCTGTCCTCTCATGGTGACACTCCTGGGTCTGGGTCCAAGTGTCAGCTGGGGACATTTTAGCCTGAGAAGGGGCGGGAACTGGAAGCCACTGCGTCCTGTTGGAGCACTCGGGCAGGGCTCCACTTCTTCCTGAGCTCCCCTCTCCAGCATCCCTTCTCCCTGACCCTCCAGGCCATCCCGAGAAGGCCAGGGTGGACCCGTGGAGCCCAGGGAAAGAGGCCAGAGCAGAACATCTAACCCTGTGTTTCGGACCTTGGAGACGTCCTCCCTGGGAGAACGGGCTAAGGACGCCGCCCAGCCAGTGTCAATCCAGGCCCCGTGGCCTGCTGGTCTGGACACAGGGAGGCTGTGACGCTGCTCCCGCCTCGGTGCCGCCCCCGGGGCTCCCACCCAGATGTGCTGATTTCAACATCTGGGCCAGGAGCCAGGCTGGGAGACCTCCACTCCAGGCTAGTAACCTGAACAAAGGCAGCGTTGTGATTCGTGGGTGATTTTTTTAAAACAGACACGCAGATGTATAATAAATGTAATAAACATGTTAGCCCCACCTTTACAAGGTGAAATTCAGTAAGAAAACGAAGCAAAGACCTACACCTGACCCAGAACCCAGGGCTGCTCAGTGGGGGGAGGGGAGAGGAGCGGGATTTAGCCCCCGAGGGGCAGCGCCGGGTGTAGGATGAAGGGAGGGAGGGCTGGTGGCGCAGGTCCTGAGCCGCTGGGCTGTCAGGGAGCCTGGTCACCGTGCGCGGTGTCGTGCAGTTTCGGGCGGAGGCAGGGAGCACACAGAGCATTCAGACCTCGGGGTTTTTTCCCCCAGACATTATATTTTAGAGCAGTTTTAGGTTCACAGCAGAGTTGAGCAGCAGCAGGTGGGCTCCGCGGGGAGGAAGGTGGATGGATGGGTGGGCCGTCCTTCCCAGTTTGGGAAGCTGGTACACAACCCCTGAAAAAAGCAGCCGTTTTTTTCTAGGTTTTTCTAAGCAGAATAGGACCCTTTCAGAAAGAACTTCCGAAGCCTCCAAGGGTCGTCTGGGCAAATACAAACGGATTTTCACTGCTGAGCTGTCATATCCCAGCCCCCGGGAACGTCACTCTGATGCTGAGCGCCTGGGAGTGTTGCTTTGGAGAAGACAGAAGGTCAAGCCCATGAAGCCGACGTGGGTGAAGGCGTCTTTAATTCTTTCATAAAACTTCCCAGGTCCTGAAAAGGCCGACGTCGGTGGAAGCTGGAGCTTGCTGCTGAAGGGACCCGACCGGGAGCCTGTCGTGACATTTGATGGGACTGAAGAGCCCCCTGGTGGCAGCTCCAGGAAACGACCCCCGTGACCTGAAAAGTCTAATTACGCATTAATTACACCCAATTGTCCATGACCTCAGCTCTCTGTGGGTAATTTCAATGAAGCCTTGTCATTGCTGCATGAAAATTAAGAGAGCAAAGGATACCATTTTTCACTGACAAATTGGCAGCGTTTTTTTGTTGTTAATACTCGCCGAGGAGCAGAGTGGAGAACAGGCCCGCGTTCTCAGGGCCGGAGCGGAAACAGGACCTCCGGCGGCAGGTTGGTGACACGTGTCAGGACACTGGGCCCTCGGACCTAGCAGCGTGGCGTCCGCCATCGCTCTGAGGGAAAGACCGCTCGAGCCCAGGCCTCCCCCCTCTGCGCCGCTTGATCTCAGGAGAAGGCGGGAGCCGCCCAAATCTCAGGCACAAGGCCCGGAGCAACAGACGCGGGGTGATGCTGGGGGACACATTTCACAGCGGGCGAGCGGGCGCGGAGCAGGGCAGGAGGCACCGCCCGGGCGTGCCGTCCGCGTCGGTCGGTCTGTAAGGACGGGAGACGCCGGGCAGGCAGCCCCGTGCAGGGGTGAAGGCTCTGGGACGGTCTGATGTGGACTCAGGGTTTTACTGATGAGCACAGCTTTGCAGTCACAGGGAGAGGACCGAGTTCCTGGCAGCGTTTCCCAGCTCAGCCTGCCGCCTGGTGCTTCCCCAGCCGGCCCCGTCCCTCGCCTGAGTCAGCAGCCCTCTGTCCGCCNCTGATGAGCACAGCTTTGCAGTCACAGGGAGAGGACCGAGTTCCTGGCAGACGCGTTTCCCAGCTCAGCCTGCCGCCTGGTGCTTCCGCAGACGGCCCCTGTCCCTCGCCTGAGTCAGCAGCCCTCTGTCCGCTGGGTTCGTCCTGGGGCGAGGACAATGAGCCCCCTCCCTCCAAGCTCACCCTGGAGGGAGGGGCTTCCCCTGGGGGCCGGCGTTCAGGGCTCCTCTTGGCCTGCGCCGGGCACGCTCACCTGGCGGCCTCCATCCCGCGCGCCTTGTGTGGCCGGCGGAGCCCGTCACGCTCAGATCCCAGACGGAGCCGGGCAGCCACGCCTGCTCTCCACACTGGCACACCGTGGACAGGCCGCTTGATGCCTGAGCCTCGGCTGCCCCGTCCGTAGGCGGTTGGTAGTAATGGCACCTGTTCCGTCGGGAAGCAGGGAGGGTGAAGGACTTGCAGAGGAGGAAGCGCGGGGTCCGCGCTGCCCTGAGCGTGGCCGTGAGACCCCCCGCGAGGCCTGCGGCCCGGCCGGCGCCTGTGGCTCCGTAGCTGCTGCCGTTCGCATAGCGCGTGCCGCCCCCTCGGGCCTGGGGGAAAACAGGCAATTCTGAATCCTTAGCGCCCTGGCTCTGGTTCTGAAACACAGTGCCCAGCAAACAGCGGGTGGCTGGTGCTGCTTCCTCTCTGAACGTCTGCGTGGGGGCTGTGAACGCGGCCCGCCGGGTGTCGGACGGGCACGGGGACCCACTGACACCCAGCTGGTCCCTGGTCGTGCACAGTCTGCTCCGCTCCCTCCAGGTGCTGGGAAACGGACCGGCCAGTGTTCCTGGTGCTTCCCATCGCTGATTCACCGCCTCTCCTGGTTTAAAACCAGCTGCCTCCTCCGTGATGCTTAAGGAAACGTAAATAGGAGCACACAGCACCACCTGCTGCGGCTGGACGGCTTTTACCCGTCACTGTCCTCACAGAGCACAAACTAGCAAAACTGCCCGAATTTCGCTATCCCAGGGGCTCTTTGAAGAGACTGTTAGGTGTGTGGCAATTGTCCACCGGCCCCGAAAGTCCCCGCGCCGGCCCTGAAGGGGCTCGGAGTCACCTTCCAGGCAGGACCTCAGCCACAAGGGGACGGCCAAATGAGCCAAGCGAACGGCCTCGCAGGGCCTGGGCTGAAAGGGCTCTCTCCCCATGAGCAGACCCGGGGAACCTGGGCGCCGGGCAGGCTGTAGTTAAAACCCAAGCCCGAGGCTCGGCTTCCCCAGTCACTGGCAGCGGAAAGCTATTTGTTGGCTCATTTCGAGCCAGGCGGAGTGGAGGCTGTGTTTCTAGAACAGAAGGCGCAGATGTCGAGCGTGCCCTGCCCGTAAAGTGGGTCAGGACCCTCGAGGTGCCCCCGTCCTCCAGGGAGGGAGGGGACCATCGTGCGCAGGCAGTGGGCCCCCCAGGCCCCGCCGCCCCCGAGAGCCCACGCAGGGAGCCCTGGAGTCCCGCCGTCCCTGCGCACCAAGCGTGCCCCCAAGACCGAAAAGCGTTTCAACCGAGGCTCTTCCTTCCCCTCACAGGTGGCCCGACAGCTCCAGCCGTCCGTGGTGTGGATCGAAGACACAGAAAAAACCTTCTACAAAAAAGTACCCAACGCGGAAAAGATGGTGAGGGTTCCTCCATCGCTCCTCAGCCTGGGCTTTTCTTTCCTCCGAGGGGGGCCCCCGAGCAGCGCTGTCCCCCCTTTCCAAGAAGGTCTTGCCTTTTCAGGGGAGGCAGGAAGCGAGGGGCAGCCCTCTCCCGGGGTGTCTGAGAGGGTCCCGTGGGCTGATTTTACGGGGCGTCATTTAGAAGAAAATGAAGGGCTGTGTGAGGGGGGGAGGGGAGCCGAAGCCCCAACACCTGACTCGGAGGCGGTTTAGAGGGCTCTGCTCCACCGTCGGGGCGAATGGCACACACAGGAGTTATTATTGGGACTTCCTATTGAGTCATCGTAAATAGCAGAGCCCCGACGTGTATGAACAAAGGCCCTCGGTGGAACTGGGAGCGAGCCTGGGCCCGGGAGCCCCCTTTCAATTGCTTCCTTCCAGCTTTTCTCTCCGGTCAGCGGCCCCACCCCCACACTTCCCCCCACAAATCACCAGCAAAGTTCCCACCGGTTGAAAATAAATTGCAGACCCCTGTGATTGTTGTTCCACGTCAGTTTGCACCAAAGCAAACCGTGGTCACTGGCGAATGCCCGATGAAACGCCCCATAAGGGTTTTAGCCGCCCTGGGCCCTGGTGCCTTGCGCGTCCCTGGGAGCAGGTGGAGGCGATTTGGAGGAAGGCTGGAGGCTCCATGGCTCCTTCCCCTTCCCCCCAGGAGCCCCCTTGGCCCTGTCATTCTAGAAACTTGAGAGCACACGGGTTTCACCTGCGAGCCCAGCGGTGAGCGCCCTCTGCTGGCGAAGTCGCTACGTGGGGGGGAAAGTCCACAGAGAGGCAAACTGGGGGCGGGAGTTCCCGGGAACCCCGAGAGTAAACCTAAAGAGAAGTGCCCGGCGGTGTGCAGTCCGAGTCACACACCCGATGGCACTGGAAGCTTCGTCTCATTCCTGGGCAAGGGCCACTTGGTTCCCACTGGACGGCAGCCCCAGGAGCAGGAAGGCTGTGGACAGTGGGGACTCAGGGAAAGGGGGTGCCTGGCCTGCTCTGCCGTTCACCTTAGCTGGCTGTGTGTCCTTAAGCAAGTAGCTTAACCTCTCTGAGCCTCCACTTCCTTCATTTTTTCACTAAAGAGTTTCAGAGAGAACAGCCCCAGGTCCATGAAGCTCCCCTCACGTTCTCTCCGACGAGCCCCTCTCGCTGTCAGCGGTTGCAGCCCCATCGGGCATTTATTCTGTCTCCCCACCTGGTGTGGGGGACACACAGGGCCGGACACCAGGTGCAGTCGATGCAGGGGGTCTGCAGGCCGCTCCAGGGAAGGCGAGAGGTGGGGTCTTGGCCCAACATTCCCACTGTAATTCATGAGCTCAAATGCCCCTGAACTAACCTGAGAGCAAAACTGGCCAGGACGGAGCCTGGGTGTCCCCGTGCCGGCTCCTCACCCGGCGTCCCCCACCTCCCCGGGCTTCCTCTGGGCTCCCTGTGCTAGGCCAGGTTCATGGACAGTCTGTTTCCATGGCGACGGGGCCAGATCTGACCCCGCGTGGACTCTGCCTCCCTGGGCCCACCTCCCTTCTCTCTCCCCATTAGTGCTGAGAGGACACTGACACCGCAGGTTCACGCTATTTCCAAGCTGCCCCCGGGGCAGAAGCGGCACCACCGTGTCACCAGCATTTCTCAGACACGAGGTCCTGGACCTGGGTCTGTCCTGGGCCCTGCGGCCAGCAGAGGAGGCCTCAGGTTCCCCGTCAGAGCAGCTCGGGGGAGCGCGGAGCCCCGCAGGCTAACCCTCCGTCCCAGCAGCCCCCCCGCGCGTGGAAACCCACCCTGCTTCCGCCCTGGGCGAGGGCCCAGGTGTTAGACTGTCCCCCAGGTGCTTCCTTCCTCCCCTCCCAGATCCGAATTCCAGAGGCCGCGTGAGGACAGGAAGCCTGCCCTCCGGTCACCCAGGCCAGGGAGCAGCCCCACCGCCCGGGACCAGCCTGGAGAGACGGGCTGTCCCCCCACGACACCCCATGCTCTCCCCTCCCTTTCCCCCAGAACGAGCCCAAACGCCTGAGAAAGCAGCTCCCCAAAATCCTGAAGCTCCTGAAACCCAGCGACAGGGTCCTGATCGTGGGGACCACACGCCGCCCTTTCGACGCCGATCTCCGGTCGTTCTGCAGAGTTTACCAAAAGATCATCCTGGTTCCCAGGCCGGACTACGCGTCCCGATACGGCAAGTACCCCGGCCCTGCCCTGAGCCGCGGCGAGGCTGGGCTGTCGGGCTGGGAGGGTGGCCTCGTCACCCATCACCACCAGGTGACGTCACCCGACGTCAGCGAGCTCGGGGCCACGAAACTGCGGGGTCACAGGGCAGAGCTCCGTCTCTGTTCCACGGTTAACACACTTCTACCCCCAAGCAAAGGAAGCGAGACGGTTAACGTTTGGGCCCTGAAGGTGACGCAGCCTCGTGGGTGGGCACCTTCCCTCGAGCGTGGCGTGGGGTCGCTCGTCTGGTACCCGGGGTGGTGGTGTCTGTCTCGGACACAACCGTTGCTTTTCGCCGGGTTGATTTTTTTATTTTTTCAGTCTGGAAGTGTGAGTCCAGGAACATGTGGACTTTTTAAAAATAAACATAAAATATAACAGAAGCTTCCTTTTTCAAATTTTTTTTTTTAATCCTTGCCTGAGGATATTTTTTTTCCATTGCTTTTCAGAGAGAGTAGGAGAGAAACATTGATGTGAGAGGGACACGTGGATGGGTTGCCTCCCACAAGCGCACCTACCAGGGCCGGGGATCCGGGGATCCGGCCTGCAACCGAGGTACCTGCCCTTGGCCAGAGTCGAACCCGGGACCCTTCAGTCCACTGGCCGACGCTCTAACCACTGAGCCTAACCAGCCAGGGCATTTTTCAACTGCTTTACTCTTGAATAGAAAGATTCGAGCTCCACTTCTTTTGAAATTGTCTTTAAATGGAAACAATACAAAGAAGAGACCCTGAGGGTGGCAGTGAGACTGGAAAGAGCCAGGACTTGGGCTCTGCCAGGCCTGGTCTGGGTCCCGCCCGGCCAGGGAGCAGCTGGGTGGCCTCGCAGCTCAGAGAGGTTAGGTCGCGGGGCTGTGTGACCCTTGCCGGAGGTCAGCAGAGGCCTGGCACCGTAGCAGCCCCAGGAGAGCGTGGGCCGCGGCGGTCGACATCGTAAATGCCGCCCGGCGTCTCCCCGGTGCCCTCGGAGTTCTCGCAGCCGCCGTGGCTGGGCCGCCCACTGTGCAGAAAGACCGTTGCCGGCCGCAGCGATCAAACGCGGCCTCGCCCAGCGCACGAAGCAGGGGCTGCGAATCCCTAACGGGGCCCCGCTCGGCCACCCGTCTCCCGGCCACAGCGCCGAAGGGGCAGGGAGCAGTCGCAGTCACGGTCCCACCGTCACATCCCCCCGGCGGCATCGGGAGTGACGGGGCTGAGGGCAGAGGGGAGGGCCAGCCGAGGAAACGCAGACCTTACGGTTCACCGGACATGATTCAGGATCTACCTTCTCGCCCCAGGTCAGGCTGTCCTTCAACATGTCCCTGCGAAGAAAACCCGCCCCCGTTGATCGATGCCCTCCCAGTCCCCACAGCTGCCTTGGGGCCTACTTCCCCCGCCGTCCTGGGGCCCCCTCCTCTTGCCTCTCTCCCCGGGGGTCAGTCTCGCTAATAACCCAGCTCTTCACGCCCGCGCTGGACGCCTGGCTGTGCGCGGAGGAGTCACACCCACGACTTCTCTTGGCTCTGGGACTGTCAGCCTCAGAGGCCAGGGGCTCACCCATATCCCATTATTCACCCCTTGTGCTTTTGCAAAATCCTAAAAAAACCCCAAAACTTTAAGATACTGTGTCTTCCCGTGCGCCGGTCAGGGTGGGAGGAGTCTGCAGTGAAAGCACAGAGGAGGCCGAAACCCCCATCCCTGGTCCCTTCCGGCCCAAGGAGGGGAAAGTGTCCCTTCCTAGCACCTCAGCTCGCCGCAGGGCCAAGGACCCTCCACCCGAGGACAGTGGAGGTGAGCGGCTGGAGTGACTCGCGGGGTAACCCAAAGCCAGGCCCTGATGTGGTCGGTTACCTTGCGAGTCATTCATTCCTCGGCGGCAGGCAGACGTGCGCATTTATTTCACTGAGCTTTTCCCAGTCGATGAGTTTGGGTGGCACGGTCGCTTCACAGACCCGGCGGTGCGCAGATCAGGCAGTGATGTTAAGCCCCGGCCGTGTGGCTCAGTGGTTGGAGCATCGGCCAGGGGACTGAAGGGTCCCGGGTTCAGTTCCCAGTCGAGGGCAGGCACCTGGGTTGCAGGTTCCATCCCCGGCCCTGGTTGGGGCGCGTGTGGGAGGCAACCCATCCACGTGTCTCTGTCACATCAATGTCTCTCTCTCTCCCCCCCACTCCCTTCCACTCTCTCTAGAAATCAGTGGAAAAAAATATCCTCAGGTGAAGATTAACAAAAAACACACGCACATTTTAAATATTCCTCAAAGCAAGTCCGAAGGCTTTAGCGCCGCTCGGCCGGGTCTCCCCGGCTCTGAGACGGGCCCTGCCGACGGCCTCCCATCTCGCCCGACCACACCGATTCCGGTGGCTCCTTGATGCCCCGCTCTCCACGGACGGGCGTGGCTCTGAGCGCAGTGTTACCTCCAGTGGCGCGTGGGTGTCCCCTCGGTCTCTCGCGTTAAGTAAACCTCAAGAACCGCTTCATAATTCACGTTCACAGCAGCCCCGTGTCCTGAGACCTCTGGGTTCCCGGGTCCCACTCACCCAGAGAACAGCCGGGCACCCACCCAGCAGACCAGTCAAGCTGCCCGTGTCCTGGGTCCTCGGGGGAGGAAATAAGGGCAAGTGGCTCTATTTAACAGGAGGCGCAGCACCGCGTCTCACAGCCCAAGGGGCACGAGCCCCGTGGTGCCTCATGGGAATCAGAACCTGCCCGGCTGGCGTGGCTCAGCGGCTGAGCACCCACCCATGAACCAGGAGGCCCCGGGTTCAGTTCCCAGTCAGGGCACATGCCCTGGGCGCGGGCT